TCCCCCAATTCTAAGGCACGTAGTCTGATTCTAGAGACACAGTCAGGTAGAGTCTTTGCTGCGTCTCTGACCGGGCAACTGATTTACATAAAAGCAGCAGTCCTGTCCCAAGAGACAGAGTCCATCTTTTTCTATTGTCCGGAAAACTAGGCCTAGCAACAAAAATGAATTCCTTTTGCTTTTGGGTCCAGAATGACATCTGTAAATTCCTCTAAGTTTGCAAAGGGGCTGAAAGAGCTGTGATGCTAATGAAAGGGAGAGGCATCCAGCAGTCCTTGCCTGAGCAATGTTATTTAGGTAAGAACCTCTTTAACGGAACTGAACAGGTAAAGGGAAGTAAAAAGAAAGAACAGAATAGGGGAAGATGCAAGCTATCAATCAGAGTAGGCTGGGGTCAGAAAAGTAAAAGTGAAGCATTTGATTTCATGTGGGGGCGTATTAGTCATTTTTCTGTTGCTGTGATAGAAACACTGACCAAAACAACTTATAAAAGGAAAATTTTATTTGAGCTTACATTTCCAGGGGAATTACAGTCCATCTTGGTGGGGAGGCATGGTGGCAGAGGTAGCTGGAAGAAGAGTAGCAGAAGCTAAGCTCTCACATCTTCAAGCAGGCACAGGAAGCAAGAGAGCAGTCAGAGATCCGGCAAGGCTTAAGAACTCTCTAAGCCCACCCCCAGTGACATGCTTCCTCCAGAACAGCCACACCTTCTAAGACCTCCCAAAACACCCCACCTTCTGGGGACAAAATGTTCAAATACTTGGAGCCTATGGGGGACATTTTCATTCAAACCACCACAGGGAACAAAGTTCATGAGATCGCTTTGTAACTAGCAGTCAGTTATAAATTCAAATACATTACTTATTTCAGTGTCTTGTATTGTCCACAGGAGACAAAGAGTTCAGAAAGGATTATCTGAAGGAATTCTCCATCCTATAATACAAAGATATCAGAGATAGAGGGAGGGAAGGAAGTGATCTCACCCAGTTGTTTTTGAATAGGCCTTTGAGGTCTCCCAGGAGGTCACAGGGGTAAGTGGAGTCTGTCAAAAGGAGAATTCTCTAGGTTGTTCCTCTAGGATGGAATAGAGAATGGAGTTTACGTCTTCTTGTTTAGTGTGGTGATGTGCTGTCCTTGTGGTCCACAAGTTGGTCTTATCCTGGAAAATGAGTCCAAGGATTGAGACCTTATAGTTTAATAGCAGTAGGGGTAGTGAGGAGGACCAGGGGGTCCTGACCACAGAGGCTGGAGAGGTTTAGTGATTTAAGCAGACCCAGTCTCATGGATGGATTGGGAGAAATGGTGAATCAGGGAAAAGCTTTGGTAGAAGTCTATTAGCACTATGTCTTATGAAATGTTGGATGTGGGAGAGGGCTGGGATGTAATTGCCTTATCTGCTATGTCAGTAGCTCATGGGGAGGCCTGTAAGGCTGAATCTTTGTCCCTTTTTAAAGTTTAGTCCAGTTTTTTTCAGTTCTGTATTGTTTCCAATCACTCTTGTCTTTGGTTACATTTCCTGTTAGGTGTCTAAGATCATGCTGTAGTCAAAACTTAACCATTTTTGTTATAAAAGTTAATTGAGGCTTTTTTCGATTATTCTTAGAGACATTGGAGGAGTCCACTGACTTCTTTAGTCTTTCTTCTATGAGTTGTATCATCTGGGCTGAATCAGGGCCTGATTGGCCTTGTGGCTTTATTGGAAGCACTGAGGACATTTCCTTCTGTAATGACCTCCTCTTGCAGTTTGTACATTAATCAAAGTCTGTCTCTCCATGTCCTTTCCAATCAAGAGGACAGGACAGGTGGCTTACCAAAACTTTAGAATACTTTGAGAGGTGTCATGTCTTGAAGAAAAGCTTGGCCATACGACACTTCTTGTTGTCTTACGATCTAGCTGGGGGGTGGTATTAAAGCTAATGTGGCTTATCATTGGCTAATCTATTTAACACTTAACTTACGTTGCCTAGTGATATTGTGTATGGCCAAGTTAACCTCTTTCTTTTTAAAGTCTGGAGACCAAATTTGTCCCAGTCATGGAGAATACATGTTCATAGGAACAAGGTATGATTGCCTCTCTTAGATACGACACTAATTTCCTTCCTGTAAGATCTGGAGTAATTTGGAGAAAACTCAAATTTCCATTTATTTTGGCCAAAATGTGTCAGAGGCACATGTCACAGTAGAATCTCTAAATTCCTTTTAGGTCTCAATTAGTATATTAGGTAAACTAATCTCTCAAGAACAGAACTTACCATGGAGGTCAGATGTTACCTTAGTATGATATAGGAAATGTATTGGTCTTATCCCAAGGCAACAGAGATACCAGAAAGTATAGCTAGCCCTTTTCGATAAGAAGCACCTGAGTTAAGTTAGCGCTAATGTAGTAGGAAGTAGAAGTGCGCACAGAGGAAGATGGAGTAACTTGAAGCATAGCATCCCTGAAACGGGAAAGATCCCATAGCACATGTACAGAGGGAAGCTGTAGGCAGAAAGGAATAGAGGACTGTATGGTCTGGACTCAAGGGAGCCTTACCACAGTGAAGATGAAGAAAATCAAGTTGTAATCAGGAAGATCAAAAGATGTCACCTGGATTTCATTTAACCTTCCCTTGCTTCAGGTCTTAGTTTTATAGTCTGCTGATGGAGTGGGAGCCCGTGAAATATCAGGGAGTAGCTAGGTTTATTTTCTGTTGCTATAAGATACCCAGACAAAAGCAACTTGGGGCAGGGAAGGTTTGCTTGGCTCACAAGTCCAGGTTACAGTCCATCATTGCAGGGAGGTCAGGGCTGCTGCAGAGTGCATGAATTCATGTGCACATCCTTTCACTACTCTTACACAAGGTCCTTTGCCCAGGGAATGGCACCACCCACAGTGGGCAGATCATCCCACTTCGATTCATGTAAGCAAAAAGCCCCCCACAGAAATGTCCACAGGTCAACTTAATCTAGACAGTCCCTCAATGAGACTACCTTCCCAGCTAATTCTAGATTGTGTCAAGTTGAGGAGGCAGAGGCAGGTGGATCCTAAGATGGAGGCCAGTCTGTTCTACATAGCAAGTTCTAAGCCAGCTACAGGGGCTACAGGGAGACCCTTTCTCAAAATCCCCAAACAAAACAAAACAACTAGCCTTCACAGGAAGTTGCATCTGCACTGTCCTTTCAGAGCACGTGAAGGAACTGGGAAGGCGAAAGTATTCCAGGTGTGGAAAGGGGCAGGGGGTTCAAAGGTAGAAGAAAATTCTTGCATAAGAAAATCCATACCATTTCCCACATTGTAGTATGAAATTTTCTAGGTCTTTAAGGATTTTAAAGTCAAAAATACCATTTTCAGGCCATAGGCGGCCATTACCAAGTTGACATTATAGAAAAATGACATTGCAATACAGAATCAGTACCATTCCTCACCCGGATAGAGCAGTTAAAGACTGAAAAGATGGCCAAGTACAGAATCCTTGGGAGACAGAGATTGAGTGGCACTTATTGGGGAGGGAATGTTTGTTTGGAAGATCAAGTGGGTCCAGAAAAAGAAAGAGACAGAGCATAGGTAAATGTTTTTGTGAGCCTTGGTTTAGCCTTTTGGAAATGACACAACTTGCAAACAAAGATCACAGCTGAGACTGGCATCTTAATCAGGGCAATAGAACCAGATCCAAACCTGGTTTGGAAGCCCCTGACCCAGCACTGGGAATTTTAGCACAGTGAACTGTGAACAGGGGTCTCAGAGAACCTGGAGACTTACCAGTGAGAGGAGAAGGCGCCCAGGACGGGCAAAGCGTTCAGTAAACAGGAGGGGCCAATAGAACCCTAGCAGGGGGCCCCAAACCCAGAAGGGCCACTAGAACCCTGGCAATAGAGCAAAAAGCCTGGGGGAAGGTGGAAAGCTGAGTGGCTACATAGAAAGATCCCCCAAATCATGTCAGCTTCTCTGTCAAGCACCAGGATTTGGGCACCACATGTTTTTCATGATAAAGAGGGCCAGTGAGATGGCTTAGTGAGGAAAAGTGCTTGCTACACAAACCTGAAGACCTGAGTTCAATCCCATGAGCCCACAGAAAGAACTGATTCCAGAAAAGTTGGTCTATGACCTCCACATGTGCTCTCTCACACACACATTATACACACACAATAATAATAGATACATTAAAAAATGTAAAGTAAGAGCCGGGTGTGGCAGCACACGCCTTTAATCCCAGCACTTGGGAGGCAGAGGCAGGCGGGTCTCTGTGAGTTCAAGGCCAGCCTGGTGTACATAGTGAGTTCCAGGCCAGCTGGGGCTACAGGGAGACCCTGTCTCAAAAAGACCAGAAAAAAAAAAAGTAAAGTAAGAAGAAACGATTCTTTTCAGGTTCCATAGAGAAGCAGGAGACAGATTCAGGTGAAACTGGAAACTAATATGACACCTTTTCCTGCTTGGCTGAGCTCCACGGCAGAGTAGAAGGCAAAACTTATTGGTAGAGCAGGTTCCTTGGCCCTATTGAGGGCACAACCCTGCAATCCCCCAAATGCTGTGCTTGCCCCCCAATTCATATGTTGAAACCCAGTCACCGGTGTGATGCTAAAGCGGTCATAAATGGGATTACAGTCATGTGTTTGTACCCTCTGCTTCTGCACCCACAGATTGAACCAACTGTGGATTCCACCAGCCAAAGCCTAAAAATATTCAGAAAGATACCAGGGTATAGCTTAGTAATAGAGTACTTGCCTGGCATGTGTGAGGCCCTGGGTTTGACATTCAGTACCGGAAAAAAAAGTTGGTTTTTTTGTTTGTTTTGTGTTTTCAGAAAAAAGTGTAAATAAAATGAACATGTATGAAGCTTTTACTATTATTCCTAAGCAATCGAATGTGTCAACTTTTTTTTTTTTTTGATACAGGGTCTCCTTGTTGCCCCAGCTGGCCTGGAACTCATTATATAGACCAGTCTGGCCTTGAACTCACAGAGATCTGCCTGCCTCTGCCTCCCACGTGCTGGGACTAAAGGCCATGTGCCACCACACCCAGCAGAATGTGTCAATTTTTATGATGGGGGATTAGGAAGGTGAGCCTGAACCATGGCATGGAGGTCAGAGGACAACTTCTGGGAGCCAGGTTTCTTCTTCCAGTATAAGTCCTGGGAATTGAACGCAGGTTGTCATGTTCGCATGACAAGAAACTTCACCCACTGAGCCAACTTGCTGGCCCTAGAGATGATTTAAAGTGTGTGAGCGGATGTGTTGTGGGTTATATGCAGATGCTCCTCCATTTTATATAAGTGACCTGAGCATCCATCTTGGTATCTTTGGGGAGAGGGGCTGGAACCAATCTTCTGTAGATACTGAGGGATGATGCTAATGTCTTATAAGAAACCCTAGCGTGTTACCTAACCTCTTCCACCATAGGAGGGACTATCTGTGAGGAAGTAGGCCCTCACCAAACACCAAATCTGCTAGTACCTTCATCTCAGATTTCCCAGTCTCCAGAATTATAAATAATAAATTTATTTAAAATGCATAAGTCACTCAGGTTGCCATAGCAACCTGTATTTACTAAAGCAACTCGTGCAGAAACTTGGGGTGATATAGAATTAATTACCTGATATTCTAAGGAGTCAGTGTCATAGAATACACCTAGACCCCTCTAGGGAGACCTCCAGGGAGACTACAGGGCAGCCTGCTGAGCTGTCCGTGGCAGTTTTCCACCCATCTGGAACAGCAGTTCTCATCTAGGGATGATGTGGCCCTGTCCTGAGACAGTTTGAGTTGTCATAACTGGGTGTGTGTGGTGGGGTTGTTATTGCATCAAGGGTATATAATGTGGGAACAGCTCTATGCAACAAGGAATTTCATCTCAGATGCCGGTACTGCCAAGTTCTGGTCTCAAGAATATGGAGCGTTAAGACTAGAATAAGGGATCTCAGGTTTTGCTTCAACCAGCCTTTTCCTAGAGTAGAGAAGGACCTCACAGAAGTCAGGAGCAGATACTACAAGCCACCCTCCTGCCTTCCCACCAAGTGGCCAAACTGCTGAGCCCCCAAAGACATTGTGACTGAAGCAAAGTGGGGGCAGGTGGGGTGCTTGCCTCTGCCCAGGGGTGCCTTAGATGAAGTCTGGCCTATCTCTGAGCCATGGGTCTCCATTTGCATGGTATAGCATCATGAAGAACCACAGGAGTTTGTTGTGTGTGCCCCCACTGGGTGCTGAGGGCCTCCTGACCCACTCCACTGAATGGGTCCATAAGTGTGGCTCTCCTCTTTAATCTTGGACTGGCAGGTACACAGCATAGGAGGGTGGGCAGGGCCATAGGAGTTCTGGGGAAGGGGTCAGGGGCAAGCCAACACCCAATTCCTACAGTCATTCATCTCCCAAGCTGGCAAGCTGGTCCCTGTCTTTTTTAAGTCCCAGGTTGATCTCACAGCAAGAGATCCAAGTCCTATATTAAACCCCCAGCTCCCTCCAGCAGGGGCATGACAGACAGTGGGCCAGATCTTGGCCATAGGCCAGACTGTTTTAGTATCCTGAAGCCTTTCCAGCCTTCCTCCAGTCAGACACTGCGTACACACAGGGCCCCTCCTGGGACACAGCCTGGACCACGTTCAGGAAAATGAACCTCTGGGTCTGTTTCTGGCCTCGGTCCTGTAGCCCCTTCTGCACTTCCTGGAGAAGAGAGAAGAATCTCTGTCAGGAGTGGGTTGGGGGAAAGGACTCAGTTTCCTTCCAGAAGGGAGTGGCCTGGACTGGAAATGAGAAAACAGACCTAAGAAGGCAAGACTGGGGAAAGGAGAGTCTGAGGACCCAAGGCAATGGAAGACTGTGGATTGGGTGGGTGCTGGTCCCAGAACATGAAGTCTACAGCCTGAAAATATCAGAGGGACTTAAAGGGGACAGTGCAGACTTCAAGACTATGCAAGGAAGAGATCACTCAGAACAAAAAGCCCTTGAAAACTAAGTTCATTTTGTTCCTGGGTCCACGTCACCAAGACTTCTGAAGACAAATCTGAGGGGATCTAGAGGCTTCCATGGAGAAGGTAACTTTAGAGGACTTAGGCTGAGAAGCCCCCAGTTTTGAGTCTTTTGAAAGCAAAACCTTCTAGGAGTCTGGGGACCCTGTGGGACATCGAGGAGGACAAAGTACTGGACACTAGGTATCAGGCCCACCAACTTGAATACTGTCACACACCATACAGGACTACAACTGTGACACAGAGATGAGTATTTAAGACCTCAGACACTCAGAAATGCAGTAGTTGAACTCCTTGGGGCTTGAAGTTGTGAGTTTAGGGCCTGTGAAGATTTGTCTGGAAGGAACCAAAGTTCCAGGTCCCATTTTTTCAGAATATCCACGTATCAAGCCAGGTGTGGTGGAGCATAGCTATACTCCAATACTCTGGAGAAAGAGGCAGGAGATTGTGGATTTATGTCCAGCCTAAGTTACATAGAAAGTCTAAGGCCAGCCTAAGCAAACTCCTGTCTCAAAAACAAACAAATAAATGCATGTAACCAAGGGAACTAGAACCCTAAAGGTACTAGTGGTCCCAGAGTGGGAGACACTCAAGATAGGGAGCCCTAATCAGTCATCATTTGGGTCTACGGCACTAAATCTGTGAACTTTGAGGCAGAAACCAAGGTAGGCCCCTAGCACTGAAGTGCTGGTTTCTAAGATGTTAAGTACCCTGTTCTGGGGCATGATGCAGTTTATCGGGTTATAAAGGGACAAAAATCCTAAGACCTGTGCTGCTTTAGCCCCTTGTTTCCATATACTATTTTAGATGAATGGGCAAGAACTTTGTCTACCAGGGCTCAGTATTCCAGAAATATCTGGGTATGGAGATGTCTCTGCAGTCCTTAGGATCAGGGCCTCCTACCTGAGCTCATCAGGTAGCACCATGTGACCTAACCCACTTGTAGGAAGAGATACCTGGAGCCCTTCCTTTGGGCTCTAAAATCTATTGTGCCTAATGTACAAATTGCTCAATTGCCTTAGCATTAAAGCCCGAGTTCCTCAGTGCTAAGCCAAAGCTAAACGTCCATCCTCAGAGGCTCCATTTCTCAGAATTCGGTGGCCAAATTCCAAGAGCCTCTTCATCTCCGTCATAGCTTTGCCTGTGAAGATCCTTGGAGACTCAAGGTCTCTAACCTAGGGTTTATGATTTTTCTCCATGGGAAACCCTGGATCTAACACTCTAATTCCCCAAAGGAACTGAGGATCTTGGCTACGTGTGGGCACTGGATTCCATTAATCCCAGTTCCAGACTCTTGTCTGTTGAATTCTCAGAGCCTAAAGTCTTCAGAGTGCCAAGGCTTGAGAACGGATATTTTCAGAAAAAGATCTTTAGTTAAGAGCCAAGGAACAAAGCTCAAAGAGTAAGGGCTTAAAAGAATGTGTCCTGGATTTTGCGTCCTCCAGACCTAAGTTCCCTGGACCTGGTGATCTGAGAGAGCACTTGAGGTCACAGGAGGGCCCTACATAAATGCTAAAATGCCAAGAATTTGCTCCCAATGGGCTGAATCCTGAGTGTCAGGGCCTGAACATGGAGAGTCTCAGCACTGCAGATGCTCCTCAGCTTATGGTAGAGCAACATTCCAATAAGCCACCATAGTTTGGAAATATTGTAAGTCAAAATGCATTGAAGGTATCTAACTTAGCTAACATCAGTGCTTAGCCCAGCCTGCCTTAAATGTGCAGAGCATTTACTTTAGCCTACACTTGGGCATAGTCATCTAAGTCAAAGATTATCATAAGTGCTGAGTGTTCCACACGCAGTTTATAGAGCACTGTCTTGGTGAAAAATAGAATCATTAGCCAGGCATGATGGCATGCCTTTAATCTCAGCACTTGGGAGGACAAAGCAGGGGGATCTTTGTGAATTTGAGGCCAGCCTGGTCTACATAGCAAGTCCCAGGCCAGCCAGGACTACATAGTGAAACCTATCTCAAAAAACAAAAAACAAAACTCCAAGCAAAAAAGCCCGAAACAACAACAACCACAACCAAAAAAGCCCAACTAGAATCATTGTATGAATAATCACCATTAATATACAATATACATCAAAGTATGGTTTTGTGGCTGGGTGTTGGCTCAGCAGTTAAGAGCACTGATTGTTCTTGCAGAGAATCCGAGTTTGGTTTCCAGAACCTACATGGTAGCTAACAACTGTCAGTAATTCCAGTTCCAAGGGATCTGATACCCTCTTCTGGTCCCACAGGCATTGTATGACATGGGTGCACTTACATACATGCAGGCAAAAATCTCATACTGAATTACTGAATGCATATGGCTTTTTAATATTTTATTTATTTATTTATTTATTATTTATTTAATTTATTTTTGGTCTTTTTGAGACAAGGTCTCCCCGTAGCCCCAGCTAGCCTAGAACTCGCTATGCAGACCAGGCTGGCCTTGAACTCACAGAGATCTGTCTGCCTTTGCCTGGGACCCAAGTGCTGGGATTATAGGCATGTATGGCATTCTTTCTCTTTTTTTTGTGCATTCTTTTTTTTAAGGCAAAAATATACTTTTTATTATACTACGTAGCTTTAAGTGATATGAGTTATAAATTATGTGACATATACAAACTTTGTTGATTCAAAATTTATTAAATTGCTCAAATATCAAAGTTTCTTAACACTTTTTCTAGTTGAATGTCCAAGTAATTGCTAGTAGTAAAGATTCATATTTGAAATTAAATATTAAATATTGTTAAATTTTTGGGGGCATAAGACCCTTATTGTATAAAAAATATATAAAGAAATGTAAGGAATTGAAATAATTTGGGGTTTTTTGTTTGTTTTTTGTTTGTTTTTTAAATTATTTATTTAATAACCACACAATCAGAAGAAGCATTTCATTACAGCAGCTTTGACATATTCAATAACTATTTCCAGAGCTAAGATGCATCTCCTTCCAAATTGGCTGTAAATTTTTAGGTTTATTAGGTTATTAGTAAGGGAGAAAGGGGGAAAATGGGGACACCTTAAGTGGGAAAACTATGATGGAGGGGTGAGACAGTGCAAGAGATAAACAATGCCTAGCTAGTTTTGAAAACCAGAGGGAACCATATTACTCCTACAACCTACTGACAAATTATACATAGCAGATCAAGAAATATATGTCTAGGTAAGGTTTATCTGAGAACAACGGGTCTTTGCCCAAGATTTATCTTCATGACACACAGTAATTAAAAGTACCAGACGGGTGGAACTAACCTTCTTGGGTGTTTTTGTGCATTCTAAGAATGCACTCTACCATTGAGCCACATCCCCAGCCCTGCCTATATGGCTTTTGTGCCATTGGAAAATAGAAAATTCCTTAAGTCCAACTATTTTGAGTCAAGGACCATCTGAATATGCCCCTTTTCCTTAAAGGCTCCCCAGTGTATGATCTTTAGAATTCCACACGGCCTTAAAAAAGTGACTGTGGGATCGAGAGATGCAGCTTTGAGAACCATAGCTAGTTGAAATGATCCAGGGCATCAAATTTGTGGCCTCAAAAAGCTGCCTAACTTGTTTTTAAAAAATTTATGATATATTTATTGTATTTCTACACACACACACACACACACACACACACACACACACGTACGCACGCACGCACACACGTGCGCGCAGGTACCTATGGAGGCCAGAAGAGGGTGTCAGATTCCCTGGAGCTGGCATTACAGGTGGTTTGGGCCTCCAGACATGGGTGCTGGGAGCAGAACTCAGGTCCTCTGGAAGAGGAGCAAACACTCTGATCCATCTCTCTAGCCCCAAATCTGCTAGTCTTTAAATGGGCTCTAGCAAAGGGCATTCCTTAGCCTCAGAAACTCCAAGAAAGCTAACCATCTCCCTGGGGAGGAAGGCACCAGTCAAGAGAATTCAGCCCCTGGCCCTACACCCGAGGTTTAGTAGGGGAACCACAATGTTTGGAAGAACTAACAACAGTCTTCAATGCTCCAGAACAAAAATCCACAGGAAAAAAATGATCTCTTTCATGAATAAACTCTTAAATATGAGTTTTAAACTACACAAGAAAACAAATCATTGCAAAAGAGAATCTGACTGGCCACAGCCAGAAAAGCTAACTTCCTGGAAATGGAAAAAAAAGACCAAGGTTTTAAAGTCCTCAACTTGAGCCAGGCATGGTAGTGCATGCCTTTAATCCCAGCACTCGGGAGGTGAGAGGCAGGCAGGTCTCTGAACTGGAGGTCTGGTCTACATAGTGAGTTCCAGGCCAGGGAAATCCTGTCTCAAAACAAACAAACAAACAAACAAACACAAACAACAAAACATTTAAAGTCTTCAGCCTGGGAGAAATTCAGACAACACCGAACTCTCTGACTTGATGGCCATGGGACAGACCTCATACAGTCCCCACTGAGCTTGTCCGTTCCTCATAGCCTCTGGAGATGAAGTGTGCCTGCCTGGGACATATAACAACTGAGATCCTCCCAGGCCACATTGCACAGCATGGAGCTGAGTGAAGGTGGTGTAGATTGAGACCTCAGCCTCACCTGGCTGAACTTGGGCTCATACTCCACATGGCCCTTGCTATTGACATGTAGGATGGGGGCTGCAATGGCCTCTGTCAGGTTAAAGCCAAGCCACAGCTTATTCATGATAGTCTGGAAGAAAGAAAAGGACACAGGGAAGGGGGGGTACTGACTATTCCACCCCAACACTCCCACCTCCACCCCTGAGTTTCCCAGAGAGGGAACATTCTAGCCAGGAACTCCCACTCACCTGGACCACAGCAGAGATGATGAGTTCCCCCCCAGCCCCACCAATCACCAGCTTTGATCCCTGAGCTTTGTTGATCATGATGGAGGGTACCATGGATGATGGTGGCCGCTCTCCTGGAACTGAGGGCAACAAGTATCATCCACAGCCTCTAAGAGTACCACACACCCCGCTTTCATTCACTGCTAAGCCAACAGTAGCTCAGTGATGGGGGTGATCCACTCAGGGGTGGCACCTGACTGCCCACCATCCCTCCTCCCCTCAGGGGGTGCTATAGAAGCTGGGCCAGAGGCCTTTCTCTCACCAGGTGGGGGTGTAACAGTGGAGCCCGCTGTGTGTCTCCAGCATAAGTCCAGTAGTTCATTATTAAGGAGGATGCCTGTTTGTGGTGAGTACACCATTGCTCCAAACCTGCAGATATGGAAGGTAGAGTGTGGGCTTGGGGGCTTGGCTCCCATCAACACAGGGGTCCAACCTTGCAAGATCCTGTTATAGCTGTCCGCCAGCATGCTGGAGCTCAGCACCACAAAGGACCCTCAAATATCCCCTTCAGCCCCTATCAGGACACCTTTTAAAGTAAGACCTATCCCAGGCAAGACTTGGATTGGGGCCACTCAGCAGCAGCTTTTTCTCTGCAAGGATGTCCCTGGTGCTAGATCCTTTTTAACAAACAAGGGGAAAGGAAAAGCAAAAGTAAGATTCTGCCTGCTTAGGGTCAAGCAACGGGAGGCTGTGGGTATAAACCAATTTGGGGCAGAGGGGACTTAAGTCTCAGAAGCAAAGAGAGGGGTCAGTCCATCCGCCCTTTCCCTGGTCTCACGCACGGTGTGTTGATGGTGCTGGTGGCTGCTACAGCACTGCCATCCTCACCCAGCACAGACACGTGGGAGGTGCCCATTCTGTTGCCCCAGACACCAGCTAGATTGTAGTGGTTGAGCTGGTGGTCACCACGACCATCAATCTGCTGGCGGATATGCTGAGCCAGAGCGTCCCCCAGTAGGTCCTGGGAGGTGTTCTGGAATGAACAGGCAAGTGGCAGGTTAGTGAAGGGATGAGTTCCCTTCTCAGGTGGGGTCCTCAGAGCAGAGGATAGGATGAGCTCATCTCCCTTGGGGGACCTTCTCTCTAGTCTATCCCAGAAAGGCTTCTTAGGCCCAGGCTATGTGCAGATCCTGGCCCCTATACCTGCCAATTCAGAGTCGCTTCTAGTCCCTGGGACCACTGCCAGGCTATCCCTCCTAGAACTACAAAGAAATTCCTCCAACTTTCCCATGCCAGGCCAGACCTTCCCTCTATGCTGTGTTCTGGGGGCAGGGAGGAAGAGGTCTCCCTTCAGCCCCAAGGAGTCTTACCTGGGTCCCCGGGTGACTGCGAGGGTCCCACAGCCGCCACCTCTGCCCTAGTGCAAACTTGAGTGTCTCTACGAGGTGGTGGTACATGTTCACTTTCCCTTCAGGCTGGGCCACCATCTCCACAGAGAAATTGAACCCTGGGGAAGTAGTAGAGTATGGAGGGAGTCACCCTGTGTAGTGGAGTGGATATTTGCCCCCCTCCGAAAGATTTATTCATTTCCTTTTACGCAGAATCCATGCATATTGTTTTATAGAACGCAAGAATGAATATTACTTTATATGGCAAAATATGTTAAGGATTTTGAGAGGCGGCAATTGCCCTGGATAATGTAGATGGACCTTAAATGTGATCACATGTATCTTTATAAGTCAGACACAAAGGGAAGGAGAGGCTAACATAAAAGTCCCCTCTTACTTGTGGTCTGACTTTCCACAGTTTCAATTACCTGCAGTCAATTATAGTATGACAATATTAAATGGAAATTTCCAGAATAAACAATTTATAAGTTTTAAGTATATGTCATTCTGAATAGCACAATTATATCTCATGCCATTTACTCCATCACAGCAAGGATGTGAATCGTCCCACTGTTTAATGTATCCACACTGTATATGCTGCCTGCTCATTCATCACTTGCTAGTCATCTCATTTGTTTTTGTAGCACTGGGAATAGTGCTCAGGGCCTTGCATGTGCTAGACATGCCCTCTACCACTGAGCCTTTATTAATCATCAAAATGATTGGATCAACTGTCACCATATTGGAGTATTTGCATTAAGGTAACATCCATTTTACTTAATAGTGACTGTGAAGCCAAAGAGTACTGCTATGGTTTCCATCTGGAATGGCGCCCGAAGGTCGTGTATCTTGACTCTCAGTTTGGCACTACTGGGGAGGTGGAAACTTTAAGAGTGGGGCCTGGTGGGATGGTTTGGGTGATTGGAAGCATGTGGCTGAATGGGGCATGTGGGATATCAGGCTCTTCCCTTTCTTTTACTTCCCAGTAGCCTTCAGATGAGGAGCTTCCTCTACCACATCCTGCCAGGATAGCTGTCTTCACCACAGGCCAGAAGCAATGGAGCCAAACAATCGCAGACTGACACCTCCAAAACCGTGAGACAAATAGACTCTTTCTCTTCATAAGCTGGTTTTTATCCCCAGTATGTGTTACAGTAGTGGAAAGCTACCAACACAAGTGCTGGTGCTGGTGATTTGAATATGCCAAAGTGAAGCCACGAAGTGCTTCCTTTAGCTGAAAAGGTTGCTGTCTTATGGTTCTTAATTTATAGATTAAACTTTATCACAGGTTCAGACCTGGGAAAGAATATAGTATGTGTAAGGTTTAATATTATCTGTACTGATAGTCAGATTCTGGACTGATGCAGCCAGAGGCAAGGGAAGCCAGCAGCCCCCAGAAGCTGGAAGAAGCAAGGAAAGGCTTTCTCCGAGAGTCTCCAGAAGGAATGTGTCCTGTGGAGAGCTTCATTGGGGACTTCTCCCTTCTAGAAGATTGAGGCCTTGGGCAGTCCCGGTAGGCTGTGCCTCAGCCCTGACTGCAGACACCTTGACAGGCAGCTCACAACTTGCAGAGCCGTCTGCTCCTGCGCCCAGGGACCAGGTCATGTACTAAGGGAAAGGATGCCAGTTCCTTCAGCAAAACCAGATATGGGCCAATTCCTGAGACAAAGGACAACTCTAAAATGTTCCAGCCAGGCCACCATCCACAGTCCTGGACAGTCTTGGTGTCATACATCTCTTAACCTAGTTTATACAGGAAAAGACAATAGTATATGCTATGGTCAAAATATTCCTTGGGTGTTTCCAAGGGTCCACTGTGATTGTAGCCTTGAGCCCCAGGGTGTCAGTATTAGGAGTGGCTGAACCTTTAAAGGGTGAGACCTAATAAGAGGTCTTTAGGTCACTGGGGGTGTGCTGATGGAAGGTGGTTCACATGTGACTCTTTGGTAGTTCTCACAAGAGGCCTATTATATTAGGAACCAAGGTTGGCTGACCAGCTTTCTGCTTCCTGGCTTGAGAAGTAACACACTCCTCCCATTGCTGTCTGCCATCTGCCCTCTACCATGGAGTCCCTCATCAGTGCCGAACCTCAGAAGGTACTGTATCCTCGAACCTCTAAACTGAACTAAGTAAATCTTCTTAGTGATTAAATTTGGGTTTTTTTTTCTATTTATTTATTTATTTATTTATTTAGCAGCACTGTGGCTCAAATCCAAGGCCTCATGAGGGCACTTTACCACTCAGCTATACATCCAGTCTTAAAACTTTTCTTGATAAGTAGCCATGTTAGACATTTTGTTATAATGATGGAAAGCTAACGTACTACCTAAAGTCATGGACTAGCTGGGAGCTCGGTTCTCGGTAGGGCAGTGCTGGAGGGCAGTGAGAAAGCCTGGGAAGGTCTTACCTCTCAGCACGTTGAGAATGAAGCTAAGAATGGCACCCCCTGCTGGTGGCGGTGGTGAGTACAGGGTGTAGTTTCCCAGTGGCATCTCCAGAGGGTCCACCACCTCAGGCTGGAAGGCAGCCAGGTCCTCAACAGTCAGCTGGCTCCCTGGGATAAGAGGTGAGAGCTCTGAGTACAGATGGGGATTGCCAAAGAGGTAAAGAAGGGCTGTTACTGGTCTCAGGGGTTCCTCTTGCCTGCTAGCTATGCAGTTAAAGAGGTGATGGTGGGTCTGTGGGCAGTGACATGGGGTAGGTAGACAGATCAGAGGAAGGCGAGTGAGAGGGAGGAAGAGGAAAGTGCTGGACTCAGTCACCCAGGCCTGCTGTAGCCTCTTCACTGGCTGACTTTCAAAAGCTCTGCTCCTCGAGGTTCTTGACCACAAAGGCCCCAAGCCTGACAGTGGCTAGGCTGGGTTGAGTGGGCTTCTGTCCTATCTGAGTCCCCGGAGCAGCCAGCAGTCAGTTCAGAAGAGCCTGGAGAAAGGCCTGCCCTCTTTCCCCAGTCCTCAGAACTTGGCACTTTCTCTGGCTGGATAGGTATTAGTGTGCCAATGTGTCTAACCTTCCTTGGCAATGTCCTCCACCAGCATGTGGCCCAGCCTCCCTGTGTAGAATGCCTCTGCGCCCTCAGTGGCCACAGTTTCCAGGGTGTTGGCCAGTGCAGGCCATGGCAATGGATCTTGAGGTCTCAGAGTTTCTGTCCCTTTAAAGAAAAGCTGCCTGGTGGGAGAGGGAGAGAGCAACCTCAGGTTGGTGCCAGATCCCAGAGAACCAGATTCCTGCTGAGCTCTGGAGGTATCCTCGAGACTCTTCTGGGGGAACAGCCCTGGCCCCAGCACCAAACCCTTTGGTGACTGGCTCTCTAAAGGCAAGTGTAGCTGACGCCACCCACCTCACTCTTAGCCCTGGAATCTGTCCAGAGAGGTCTGTGTCTACCGGGGCTATCTCTCTACCCACTGACAGGATCTGTCAGTGAGCCAGCAGGGCAGGCAAGACAGTAGCCAAAGGCAGAATCCCTACCACCCTGAAGAGGAGGAGAAGGAAGCAAGCCCCTAGCCCAAGCTGGGGTTCTGACATGAGGCAGAAAAGCTATGGCTTTGGCATCTTAGGGTTAACTCTCCATACTAAGGAAAGGCTGAAGTAGAGCTGGACTGTGGCTAGACTCAGGTCAGATGTGGCCTTGAGGACTAGCCTGTGGTTCTTACCTCAGGGTTGATGCGTACAAGGAGGGCCTCAGGAAGCTGTTGTTGAGAAACTGGCTGAGGATGAAAGGCACACGGAAGCCCTCTCGGAGCAGGGTGATGGTGGGCTGGAAAAGCTGTGCCCAGGGCAGGCGTCCGTGGCGGCGGTGGGCCATGGCATAGCCACGGAGCTCCCCAGGAACCCCGATCCACTGGGCCCCTGTGCGACATGCACCTGCTTTCAGCCCCATTTGGCCTCCCAGCTTCTGGAGCCCATGTCTCTCCCTACACAGACCTCCTGTGGCTCCCCACTGCCTTTTGTACAATGTCCACATAGAAAGCCCACCAACGGGCACTGGTTCATTGCAACAGGCAGAACCAGGCTTAGGCCACCCTCCTCAGCCCACTCTGAACTCAGATAACCTGTCCCCACATCCCTGTCGTACCAACACATCTCTGCTAAGCTCTGCCAGCCTGGCCCGCTTCTTGGATAACTACCCCCATACTCAGAGAGAGAGACGCTCCCAGGAAGAACTCATAAACCCCAGCAGGTTAGGGGCTCCACATTCTCCCCATACCCAGCTGCTATTCCCAATCCCAGGATGTCACAACTTGTTTAGGAGGTACAGTGCCCATCTGGGTGTTCTGGACAGCCCTGTGGCTGGAGAGGTTGAGTGGAGCAGAGAATTCCTTCTAAGACCTTACCTGTGCCCAGTGGCAGGGCCTTTTCACACTGGTCCAGCAGGCCCCGGACATGGCTGGCTGGCACTGTCTCCCGAGCATTAATGACTTCCACCTTCCCTGGAGTTGGGGGAAAGTAAGCAACAGCCCCAACCTATTCTAGGCCTCAGTTTCCATCTCTGTGATTAACCCTTGGGATAGGACCTACCACCAGGGCTTTGGGGGCAGAAGCAAAGGGGGCCAGGCAAGGAGTCCCAAGAGTAACCAGGAAGGAGCAGGGAAAAGAATCCTGAGGGAGTGTCCAGTGACTGAAGATAGGGCTATCACACGGGGCCCACCTGTTGTTGCGTTGTAGACGGTAAAGATGACCCCTCCTCCCAGGCCCATGCTCTGAGGGTTAACGACACCAGTGCAGACCAGGGCTGCGATGGCAGCATCCACAGGCGAGCCCTGCTTCTGGAGGATGGCTCTAGGGGACATGATGTAGAATCAGGGGCCTGACTTTCCTACTCTCCTCTCTTCTGGGGTTCATTTGGCCAGCACTCACTGGGGAATAGTGACAAATTGATGGTCCATCTGTTGGCACTAGGGGAGAGAACACACTGAGCTGCACCCTCAAATCCAGCTACTCAGTAGTCCATTACACCCAACAGATGGCAAAGTGTGGTGCCATGTGCATGTCCCTGTGCCTTATATAAAGTGTTTCTCAGTTTACAAAGTGATTCTGCTGCATCCTTAGGGGCGCCCAGCAGCACTGGCTCATGCAGCAAGCAGAATCAGACCCAGGCCATCCCATGGCATCCACTCTGAGACTCCACTATCCAGGCTGGCCTTCGGTAAGTAACCCCAGGATCCTGCCACCAAGGTGCAGGCTTGGACTGAGGAGTCCCACATCTTTTTCTGGGGCCCCAAGTCTATGACAGTGCTCTTGGGCTTCAGGCTCCTCATCTGCCCAAGAGGCAGGCCCTTCAACTCCAAAGTGTTGAGGAGACTGGCCTGTGCTACAGTGGCTGCTGTGTTAGAAACAGCCCTGCACATCTCACCAAGGGCTGGCCCTTCCTGCACACCCAAGGACCCTCCCCAGTACCTCAAGAACCTAGTACTTCATTTCCAGTTACCAATGAGGCACTGTAGAGGCACAGAAGGAATGGAGCTAGGTCTCCTCCTCCCCTTCATGGAGCCTCAGACCCCAGCACCTTCCCTTAACTCAGTTGCCTGTGATCCAACCAGTCCATCCTGGCCTCCACCTCATCCCAGTTCTTGAGCCCTGTATCCCAGTTGCAGCCCAAACATCAGTATATATGGGAACCCCATGCACATATGTAATTTTGGAATGAGAAAGAGACTCGAAAGCAAGAAGCACAAACAATACAAGACTACTACATTCAGGCATAAGTGCACATTCTTAACAAGAACAAAGCACCATCAACAACGTCAGGTGAAACACTGCAGGTGAAGGAACAACACTAAATTCCCATTAGAGACAAGGTCCCATTAGAGACAAGGCCTCAGAGCTGCATCGTGCCTGCTGACTGCAACTCTGTCAACTGCTTCCTCCACCTTCACCTCAGGCTTTTCTTTCATCTTCCTGATTCCCTAATGTTGGATCCCTGGTCCATGGTTGAGCCCATCCAGGTTCACGGCAAGATATATAGACTGTGTACTTGTGGCTTTGCAATTTTATTTCTAAAGAAGGCCTCTTCCCTAAACCGAAGACACTTACATGCAGCCATCTACAAGATACAACCCTCTCCACCCTCCCCGCCTGGGTGTCTAAGAAGCACTGTACACTGACCACGACCTAAATTGCACTTTTTATTTCCATCCCATCTGTACCACATCTGTACCCCATCAGATTCGTGTTTTTGTGTTCAAAGTCTTAGAAAATGCCATAAGGATTTGTCATTTTAGTCCCTAAACCTTGGAGCCATCCTTGCTGGTCAGTCTCTTCCACATCTTTATCCATTCTACCAGTGAGTCACATGGGAGGTATTCCACACCCACCATCCTGGTCCGTACTGCCAGTTACTCTTATCTGGATTCTTGTAGTGGCATACCTGCCCACCTCCTCTGCCTAGTTACTTGGACATTCCAAAGAAATGACCTAGTAAATGGCCACGGCTATACCATTACTAAACAATTTAGACCAAACCTCCCACAGAAAACTAGAAAAGCCAGGCAAATAAGAAACATCTGCTAGTTGCGTTCAGAACTACTTTTCCTTCAGGAAGATTGCTGATCTCATATGGATGGCTGAGAGGCAGAACCGTCCCTTAGATGGCTAGGGAAAGGCATGGTTCACGTGCCCCATGCTCCAAGATGGGTCCTCATTCTAGATGCAATAGCCAGAATTATACCAGGCCTCATAGCACTGGAGCCCAGCTGCAAATATCTGCAATCATCTAGTTACTCAATTTGAATGAAGATCTCAGAATTTTAGAACTCTAAGGCCTTAAATTATTTGCAAAAATTATTTTTTATTAATTTATTATTTATTTGATTACTATTTTGGGTTTTGGTTTTGATGGGTGTTGTTGTTGTTGTTGTTGTTGTTTAGACAGGGTCCAGGCTGGCCTCCCTCAAATTTGTGATGATCCTCTTGCTTCAGCTGTCTGAGTGCCGTGATTACAGGCGTGAGCCATGATGTCCAGTCCCAAAATTATTTTGGATAATTGTTATGTATGCCCTCCAATTCTTGATGAAAAATAACCAAGATAGCAAGGAAGTATAACAGAAGGAGGAAAACTCAGTAACGTACAGACAGTTTTCTTAAAAGACCCCAGGACCGTTTTATTGTATTCTTTCATTTTGTTTAGAAAGGATCTTACTATATAGCCCAAACTGGCCTCAAACTCATGATTCTCCTGCCTTGGCCTCCTAAGTGCCAGGATTATAGGTGTGAACCACCAGGCCCAGGAACAAAATTCCAAATAACTGCATTTCAGATGTAAAAGAAAAAATTAAGAATTTCAGGTTGAGGCCAGTTGTGGTGCATACCTTTAATACTGGCACTCAACAGGCAGAAGCAGGCAGATCTCTGTGAGTTCAAGGTCATCCTGGTCTTCAAAGTGAGTTCCAGGTCATCCAGGGATACATAGTGGGTTCCTGTCTTTAAAAAAAATTCGGATCTGCAGGATGGGTCAGTGAGTAAAAGCCCAATGATCTGAATTCAATCCCTGGACCTCATGCAAAAGAGTAGATATGGTTGGGTGGATGTGGAATCTGAGCATTCCTACAGTGAGATAGGAGGAGAATCACCAGGAAGCTCCCGAGCCATCTAGCCTGGAGCAGGCAGAGTGGTAAAAATAAGAGACCCTTCCTCAGAAACAGGGTAGAAGATGAGAACCAACCCTGAAAGCTGTCCTCTGACCTCCACATATGGCAGTGGCCTGCACATGTCCACACTCAAACACATACACACAACAAAATAAATAAATAAATTTATTTTTTAAATAAGAATTTTATCAGTGTTCTGGCAACTATGAAAAGCTGGAATTAGAAACTCAATGCTAATGGCAGGTTAGACATAAACATGGAAAGAAATTAGTGAACTGAGATATACTTCAATACAAACTATATAAATTGAAACAGTTGGGCAGTAGTGGTGCACATCTGCAGTCTGCCTTATTCAAGGCAGGAATATCACTTGTGTCCAGGAACTTGAGGCCAGCCTCAAGACTCCTATCCCAAAACAGAAATGGAAATAAAACAAAAATCAAAAAAGAGGGGCCCACCAAGATGGTTCAGTGGGCAGAGGCTCCCGTATCTGAATTAGGCCTGTGCCTGAGTTAGATCACACAGGTCACAGAAAGAACTGACTCCCAAGAATTGCCCTCTGACCCCCACAGGTGGGCTATGACATATGTGCCTACACACACACACACACACACACACACACACACACACACACCAAACAAGCAAAAACAGAGGAGAAAAGAGATGAAATTCTTCTAAAATTAAATTTTAAAAAAGGAATTAAGCCATAGATTGAAGAGCCACTGAAACAGGTCAGTGTCAAACTGCTCAAAGCCGTAGACAAATGTTTTGCTATTGATGATGCAATTGGGACTTTTTGACAGGATATCTCTAGCCTAGGCTGGAGCTGGACTTGTGATCCTCCTGCCTTAGCTTCCCTCAGATGGGGCTACAGGCCTAGGCCACCAGGCCTGGCTTCTTTTCCACACTTTTATTGCACTTCCCTAGGGAGTCCTAAATTTTTCCATTTGTGACCTCTTTTCACCTGAGAAATTTTTGTGGGACTCTAAGTATATAAATCAAATATTTACTGATAATACATAATAAAGATATTTATTTTAAAATAATTCTTTAATATTCATACAATTTTACATTTTTTTCTTGATTTTTTTAACTGTATGAGCATGAGTGTTTTGCTCCATGTATGCAAGTACACCACACGCATGCAATGCCCACAGAGGCCAAAAGAGGGTGTTGGATCCCCTTTAACTGTAGTTAATGGATGGTTGTTAGCCACCACGTGGGTGCTGGGAACTGAACCTAGGTGTTCTGGGTGCTCTTTCTGGGTGCTCTGCAAGAGCAGCCAGTGCTCTTAACTACTGAGCTATCTCTCCAGCCTCCTTTATTCTTGATCTTTTGAGACAGATTGTTACACAGTCCATGCTGACACTGAACTCACTATGTAACTGGAGATGACCTTGAACTCCTGATCCTCTGGTCTCCACCTTCATAGTGCTGGGATCACACGTCTTTGTGCCACCACACCTGGTTAATTTTATTAGTTCTTAAAGATTAAAAAAAAATTGCAGGGGCTGGAGAGATGGCTCAGCAGTTAAGAACACTGGTTGTTCTTGCAGAAGACCCAGTTTTGAATCCCAGCACCTACTTGGCAGCTGACAACTGTCCGTAACTCCAGTTCCAGGGGATCTAACAGCTTCTTCTGTCCTCTGCAGGCATTGCACGACACGGGTGCACTTACCTACACACAGGTCAATCTCTGTGAGTTCGAGGCTCTGTCTCAAAAAGACAAAAAAACCCACAAAAAACAACCCCACCAAATTTGCATACTAAGGACACAGATATGATTATTTATTTATATTTTTCACTGTAAATTGTAACTCTTTTTTGAATTAAATTTTTGAATTATTGAATTTTTGTGCATTTCATACAAAATATCTTAATCATCTTTATACTCCCTCCCCCATCTGCACCCTTCCCATAGCCCCTCTTCACAAGATTTCCTGCATTCTGTCATGTATGTTAAGGCCTATTGAGTCAAGTCTCTGTACCCAGAAGCCCCTCTGCTTATTTATTTTTACATAAAGAATTAAATCTTTGCTGAATATTTGATACTGCTGGACACAGAGCGTCCTCAATGTTTTTTAGAGTTAATTAATATTTTGGTTTTATAATTGTCAAAGCTGGAAATGCCCTTTGCATAAATATGTAGTAGGGAATGGCAGAAGTATGTTAAAGGACATTTCAGAATTTGTT